GTACAGGAAGACGAAACGGTTACCGATGAAGCAAACGATGACCAAGTGACTTTCTTTCCTCCTGCAAGCCATCACGACAACGAGTATCAAGTTCTGAAGTTCTACCACCTTTCCACAGCCATGATTCAGACAATACTGAAACAACAGTCATGCAGTGTAGAGATCGACTTTCCATTTCGAGTGACAGAAGAGGAGCATGAGATCATCAACTTTGAACCCTCTCCCCAGAGCTCCATCATTTTGATTGGGCGGAGTGGCACTGGAAAGACCACATGTATCCTTTATCGCCTGTGGAAAGATTTCCTTACCTACTGGAGGAAAGCTAAAAAAAGTGGACCGTGGCTTCCTAAAGGGACAGTGTTTCTTCCCAAAGACAACTCGGATTCTAACTCACCGAACTTTGAGGAAGGAGACTTCGCTGGCGGTACAAGCCAGCAATCGGATGAAACACAGAGTAGGGCTGAAAGCGGAAGAACGCAAGGCGATGACTGTGAGGCAGCAGCCAGTTGTCCTGCGCAACCAGTTGTTTCAACAGGTTCTGAATCTGAGGAATCCCTAGAGCATCTCCACCAGTTGTTTGTGACCAAAAATGGTGTCCTCTGTCAAGAAATTCAGAAAAATTTTAACGGCTTGAGCCAAGCGTGCACATTCATTAAGCATGAGAGTGAACAAGGTAAAGCTCCCTTGAAGCTGCAGGAAGTTGAAGATTCTGCCACAGGCTGGCCACTTTTTTCAAATGCCCGTGACCTTTATGTTATTTTAGATGCTTCTCTGCCTAAACCTTACTTCTTTCCCCGCAACGAAGATGGAAGCCTGGGGACCAATGTACAAGACTGGAGTGAGGAAGACAGTCAGTTGTCCACTATTCCTATCATCGATGACGACGAGGATGCAGAAGACGATGACGCTGAAGATGACACAGATGGGGAGGACGAAGATCAAACCACAGAAGGTGACGCCTCTAATTGTGAACAGAGGGTCTTTGTGAGCTACACTGTTTTTGAAAATCAGTTGTGGCCTAAAATGTGCAAGAAAAAGAAACGTGTCGACTTTCATCCCTCTTTGGTTTGGATGGAGATACGGTCGTTTATAAAGGGCTCATACGAAGCTCTGCACACAAAGAGCGGTCACCTCAGCCTTGAATGCTATCAAGAGATTGGACTTAAAAGGGCACCCAACTTCACAGCTGACAGAGAAGCAGTTTACAAACTGTTTGTATCATATGACCGGGTCAAGAGGTCTTCCAACATGTTTGATGAAAACGATCTCGTGTTCTATTTGTACCACCGGTTGAGGCAATGCAGAGTTCCTGACTGGTCAATTCACAATTTGTACGTGGATGAAACTCAAGACTTCACTCAGGCAGAGTTGATGCTGCTCATACGCTGCTGCCGTGATCCTAATCGCGTCTTCCTCACAGGTGACACAGCACAGAGCGTCATGCGAGGCATCTC